GTAGAATTTAATCAGGTCAAAAAAGAATCTGATCCGCGATACTTTAAACAATGGAATGTTCACTCTTCCCATGCTTAACAAAACTTGTTGTACCGTTTACTATTTATTCTGTCAATCAAATAAGAGGTTGAGCCGATAAAACATATCTATTGATACATATATGCAATTAAATGTAGTTGAAATGTAGTTGAAACGTAGTTGAAATGTGGATGAAATGTAGTGGAAATGTAATTGAAATGTAGTTGAAACGTAGTTGAAATGTAGTTGAAATGTAGTTGAAATGTGGATGAAATGTAGTTGAAATGTGGATGAAATGTAGTCAAATGTAGTCAAATGTAGTGTAAAGCTCATGTCAAAAAAAATTCAAGGGGTGTGTACATTGCTATGTGTTGTAATATGGTTATATAATATATTCTTGCATATTCCATACGCATGCATATTCCATACGCATACATATTCAATACTCGCACATATTCAAATATGCATGCATATTCAATACGCATGCATGCAAGTGATTGCACCGAGCCCAGCCTCTCCTTGACTACCTTCCGTTTTAATGTACGACCGACAAGCAATAGCATAATACTGACATATATGATATTAATGGCATACATGTACTTACAGATAAATTACAAATTGCAGGCTTACAACTATTGGCAGTGCCCCACAAAAAAAAAAAAAAAAAAAATTAATTTTATCATCAAAGAACTCGGTTTTAGTAATCAATGGAGACGAACAAAGGATTATATGACCAATTAAATTAATTTCACACCATTGTTCTTTAAGGGATCACTAATATATATTAGGACGGATATGACACGTTCGTATTTTTAAATGCATATGATGCAATTTACATGCGTCTTATATTTGCATTTGCATTTTATCCCCCACAACTAAAACCTACAACTAAAAACCACAACTAAAACAATCGGTTAAAAAAAATTCTTTTTCTCATCTTTGGTCTAATCCTGCATGTGCACATGGCCGAATCGGATTCAACATTTAATTAGATAACGGTTAAATTATATTCTTAGATTTATTGCTTATGGGATTGGACTTGTAAATAGGAAAGCATAACGACGCATTTACTCACATTACATTGCATATAAATAATACAAATGTGAAAATTAAAAACAATTTTTTCCTTCAAAACGACCTTTATGGAAAGATAAAAGAAAATCACACTTTCTTTGTTTGATATGCAAAAGTGTGGCAAAAAATGAGACGTCAGATAACACCAAAAATATAACGTGCAAAATTTTGGGAGTTAGTACGTCATTATTAACGGTCGTACGCCAAAATTTGCGGGTATCTTATGTAAGATGATATCAAAGGGGTGTTGAAACCATCCTATTACACCTTTTTGTCCCTTTGTATTGTCGCGTGGTTTTGTAACACTTCGGATCCATTGTTCTCATCCACCAGGATTTCTTTTTTACCGGTGCACAATGCAGGAGATAATGACACGTTCTATACTAACTTTGTTTTTTTTTATAATCAGAAAAAGGACTATGAAGGAAGAAAAATCCGTTAAAGATCAGCTATTAAACCATTTATAGTTGGTATCTAAAATCACAAATAAGACCAATTACTTAATAACTATATAGTTCGTATGCGAACAATGATAAATTTTTTTTGTCCTTTAATTTCCAATTTTAGACATCTTTTAACGATTGGTGACAGATTTATTGTTTCAAAAAATAAAACTCGTTATGCATTTTGATTTTTGCCATGCAAAGCATTAATGCGTTTTTAATTAAATTGATTAATTCTCCAAATGCGGATCGTTAATTATATCTAACTGTATTTAACTGTACCTAACTGTATCTAACTGTATCTAACTGTGTCAAAAACGGCTTTTGTTCTAAAAATGTTTGATTGATAGGTGACTCCACTTGTGTTGTTAATTTGGATTGGTTTTGTTGATGACCAAATATTTGAAAGCATATCTAATATTTATCAATTTTGTTTAATTATTAGATCTAACAATATTAGATCTATCGATTCTTGTAATATTGTTTGCTGTATGCCTATCTGTTTGCCCTAACTTACATTACTTACATTACTTACATTACTTACATTATATACATTACTTACACTATATACATTACTTACATTACTTACATTATATACATTATAATGCTAGGGTGCCAAAAAACCAATTACTTTATCATTAATATTTGTTTGTTTATGTAACTGATTATATACTTATATTACGTATACAATTAATTGTTTTTATGAAAGCAATACATATTTAATGGTTGGTTCATTCAGGCATACATTTATTTCTGGATGTGTTACAACCTCCAAAAGTATTTTTTTTCTATGCAGGCCATATGATCAAGTGTAACGTTAGTGAACATAACATTACGGATAAGGAACTTGAAATTTTGGTCTAAGAAATCATCTTTTAAATTCTAATCATAACATTAATGCTGTGACTGTGACTCTCACGTGTTGTTAGTACAAATAAACTGTTGTCCTTTCCTTTTCCTGGTTTGTATAACTGTATAACTTGCAGAAATAAAGTCACTTTAATTAGCGGCTGTTTAACTGCTAGAACCCTACCTAAAAACTTCTCTATTAGTACTATTACACAACAAAATAGAAACTGAAAAAAAAGATATACCACTCAAATCAACAAAAAAGAATATAGTGTTAGCGGTTTGATTTTATGTTACACCTGTTCTTAAATTTCAATATAACGACTACTAAATCTCATTGGTCAACTTTAATAACATGATTATCCTGCGTTGTGATTGGCTTGTTTAACTTTCGGGGGACAGCTAACCGCGTACACTTATTTCTGCCAAAAAAGATTATTTTTTCTATGCGCAAGATCAGGTACGTACGTACGTACAATCTTTGTACTCATAATATAAGCGCCGGCAATAATAAATTATAATTCCGGTTCGAGATTTTCCCTTGCCAGCACTAATATAATGTTTCTTATACCAACTTTAAACCTAACCCAACATAGCGGGCATTAAGTTGATTGGATGATAGACCGGAGTGTTGCACAATATGTTCTATACTAATCTATACTAGAATTCGATAAAATATATTTCGAACCGTTATTGTCATCAAGTTACAATGTAGCTACAATGTAACTACAATGTAACAATGCACAATGTTAAATCCAATAGCTAGGAACGTTTCTCGTTAATATAATAGGTTCGTTTATTATTTGACACAATAATGATAAATAAAACAATGCGAATCTTATTACTGCTCCAAATATTTGGTTTTTAATTGTTGGGCATGTGATCTTCTTATTATATTATCTTTATATTATCAAATAATCCGCTCCGCTTTTGTTTACAGCTAACTGTAGATTCTTGACAACTTTATAAATTTAAAAATGTTTATTAATATAATTTGCAACATTTATTTATGATAGTCCCCGATGAAGATGAACGAAGGGTTCACGGCTATTTTTCGTCACACACATTTTATTCCGATGAAGGTTTTAAAATCTCAAACCTAGTGTTTGGAACCGGTTTTATTTTTCATATGTTAAAACCGGTTTTAATATGATAAAACCGGTTTTAACATATTAAAAATAAAACCGGTTCCAAACTCTACTCAAACCTATATAAAAGCCTTCGTATCGTTCAATGCGCTTATTATTTTTTATTTCACGAATTTTTAATTATGCGAACAAAAATCTATGTAATAACAATTTATTTATGTATTATATGAGCTTTTATTAAATGTTTCATATGCCAGGATTACTTACTGCATTTAAGTATTTAACATTTTACGCACTCAAGTGTACAAAAATTGTAGAGGACGTAATATTGAATGGTCCTAAACGTAAGGCCAGAGTGGCCAAAGTGACCAACATGAATTTCTTTATTCCAAGTCAAGAATATATTCCTTCTTAGTACATAGATAAATTCTACGCCTTATTATCTAAATCAAGTTCATTCTACGTTATTTTCCTCAAACACTAATTTCAATGTGTTTGATTTTATTAATAAACTTCCTTTTCCATTTTCCATTTCTACTACATTTTTAATTTTTACAAACATTTCGAACACGATGGAATTCAATGATATAGGCTTTTTTTTTGATATATTACACATTCATTTAATTTTTATACATTATATTACCATTATATATCTAAATTTTAATTTGTATAGTATAATCGGGATTTACGTTTCAAGATCAGGTGTAACGTAACACGATCAAGAAGATTCAAAACAAACGTCCGTTTTGTCAGAAATCGTCTATTTC